TTCACTTTACTTAGACGAATTACTAATTCAAAAGTGTAAATTCAGACATCGTTTTACTGTCAATTGTTAGCCTGGAAAGGCTTTCCCCGAAGGGTTCCTGCCAACTTGACGTATACAGCAGGAATGACACACTTGCTCAGAAACAACATTGCGAATTTTGTTGTGGAGTGCATTAAACGTGCACAAAACAATCCCTTACAAACTGCCAGGAGAAAATGAGTTGATCCATCGTGAATTTCAGTGCGAAATAAACTTTCTGAGGAAGGTTCAGATGCAGCGAAGTCCAAAATAAATTAAATAATACCAGATTGCGACAACAGTGCAGAAATCGAAAATTGACAATTAGACGGCGTGGAGGTTCTTGGGTTGAGCCTCTTCCCATTCCAGTGAAATTGGCAGGTACGTCAGAAAGGCGTCCCTTTCTGATATCACAGATCAATGCAAGTGTCTTTGTTAGTGCCAGACTTGCAATGATCTCTGGCACCCCCTGCAAATTACATTGAGGTACTACGGCAGTGAAAATCATCCCTCATCAAAACCGGAAGTTTTACATCTTTGCAGATGTTTCACACACACACACTAGACAAGAACTGGATCATTGCAGTGATCCGTTGGGAACTGAATCCCACGACGTGCAATTAAACAAGAACAAAGGACCTTAGGTAGATCTCCTCGAAGCGGTATACGATTAATATGAGGAAATTCCGATAAAGTCGATCATGAACAGAAACAGGGTCAAATAGACTCCAACATTTTATACCATAGACAGAGCCCCCAAAGAAATAAATAAATTGTCTCGATAAGGTTTTCGGCTTAGCCTTTCGCCATGTCCGGAAGAATACCAGGTAAACAAAGTGTGGAATGACGTCGAAGATAACCTCAAATTGCGACAACCGTAGAAACGAAAAAGCTGTTGGGGTTCTCGGCTTAGCCCCTTGCCATTACAGTGAAAAATAATGCAGGTACGAATGGCTGATCAGGCCATGTATCACCAGGGAAACCAGAGTGTCTGCGTTAGTGGTAGACTCTGGACCCTGCTATACCACCCCCTGCAGTTTGAAATGCTGCAATAGATATGCTGTATCTCATCGTTAGAAAAAAGTAGAAGTTTTACATCTGTTCAGATATTTGACACACACTCCTAAGAATAGAATCTACTCTCATGTTGAACTTTCTGATGTCTAGGTAGTCGTCGCTTGTGTAGTGACCTAGGGAATCGCCTGAGAGATCGCCTGGATAGTGAAACTGAATGAATCGGAGTGAAGTAGACATGCTCAAAACGATTTTCAGACCTGATTGATCACCTGAAACAGCCTGATGAGAACAGCTTGTCTAGTTTGTTTTGCAGGTACACATCAGGACGTCTCCCAATGCATCACCAGAGAAAGTGGGCGTCTTCGCTGGCAGTGATCCCACAAACTCTGCCACTGCCCCCTGCTGAATTTGACATTTATTGATTCTTTACCGCATGACAGCTAGCGGGTTTCACACACACACACCCTAGAGAGGGGCGACGTGGTTACATCATCTAAAAATGAGCTGCCTAGTCTGTCTTTTCACACAGAATCAAAACATCAAACCCTCGGATATGCATTCAGCTGTACAATCATGTGACCACAAAACAAGGAAAAAAAAAGAGAGCTCTCATATAGGGGCATCAAAATTCAATTGCTGCAGATTCTAGCTGGCCATAGGGAACAGATTGCTGGGGTTCCATGCCCGTGTTCCCATGAGGTGGAAAGCCAGGGAGTCGAGCTGTCGATCCGATACGTTCCCGACCATCTTTAGACGTCATAAGGCCCCCGGCCGTTGAGTTAACCCGAGGTTCGAAACCAGAGGTTCGAGCTGTCGATCAGATATGTTCATGACCATCTTCGTACGTCATAGGGCCCCCGACCGTTGAGTTAACATGATATTCAAAACCAAAGATTCGAGCTATTGACCCCTTCTGAGTTTAACATTCATTAGTTCTTTCCCGCATGACAGCTAGCGGGTTTCACGCACACACACACTTGCTCAGAAATATCTTATCGAATTACTGATGTGGAATGCATCACACGTGCACAAACACTCCAGTTAAACCTGACAGGATTGAGTTAGAGAGCAGACTCGAGTAAGAGTCAAAATGGAACTTCTCCATGGCCCTGGTTGGAAGCAAATGGACTTCCCTGACAGATTGCGGAAACCGTACTGACATCACGTTTAAGGTTGGTTTGAAAAAGTTGAAAAAGTTGAAAAACGACATGCCGGTTCTTGGCTTAGCCGGTTGCCATTGACGAGAGATTGGAAAAATGCAGGCCTGGATATCCTAAGGAGCTTCGTTGGGCACAGCTCTATGGGCCTTCTGTGCCCCCCTGCCGTTATTGGACAAAATTGAACCCAAACAGCTACTGATGTAAAAGAAGAAAACCATCGAAGCAAAATCATCCAGCAAGTTAGAAGTTTTACATCTTTTCAGATGATCCACACACACGCCTCGCTGCCGCGAGGCTTTCTTTTAACGATGTCGAGAAAGCTCTTGAAGCTCTTATCTAGGCCCTGAAGCAGGAAATAGCGATTGACGCAAAATCAAAACACAGGGAGGAGATCTGCATTTGAATTATCCGGTAGGCTCAGAATGACATCGGCAGGAAGCTCAGGTGTCTTTAGTCATCGATGTCCGACAACGCTTCCATGGTCGCCGTCTGTTGAGAAAGAACTTGAGTTGTCACAGCCAAGTGGCTAGTAAGGTGAGCCAAGTCTGTTGCCGAGAAGACCTGGACCGGATTTGTGCTCAAGTCATCTCCCGGATTTTCAAGATTCTCGAGGATCGCAGCATTGGATTCCCTGTCATTGTTAAGAATGTCCCAAAGGACTGAAGCCAGTTGGTGGATCTGACTTGGTACCGATGCCACGGCAACATTGGCGATGATGGAGTCAGTTTCGTCCATCTCAGAGCCCGGTAGAGATTCCTGGTTTTGATCAGGCTGATCAGCATTGTCAGGTGATTGTGGGTGATGATGCCATGAGTATGGCTCATATTCCACCTCAGGAATATTGAAGTGCCGACGCCAGTAATTGGCGAGATAGGTTGATTGCTGCCATGAGTCAATCCATCCATAGCGGTCGGCACGAATGTGACCAACAATCCCGTTGAAGAAGAACTCCGGTTGACGATTGAGCTGGACACCGTAACAATCCACTTCCGTCACCATGAGGCTTCTGACTCCCGTTTGAGGAGATCGAACTTCCGTGAAAATGTGAGTATGGAGTGTTCGATTCTGTCGTTGGATTTCCGTCTGGAGTGGGTAGGCTTCTTCAGCTGACGGCTGTAGCGGAGCCTGATGGGATGAGTCATCGGGTAGAGGAACGGATCCGTACGGTGACGAGATGCTGCTAGGAGTACTTCCAGAGAAGGAGGGTAAAGTCAGATCATCGGTGATACTGCTGGGATGAGGTCTTTGACCAGAGGATGTAGCACCACTATTGGATTGGTCTTCAAATCGAGGGTGGCGACGTGGCATGCTCATCGGTGCTGGAGGTGAGGTGAAACCGGCCAGACAGGAATCACGCTTGGTCATGATAAAGCTGAAGCCAAGGGCTGAGGGATATTACATGGAGAGGTAGAAAGAACAAGTTAACCATGGGATGGATGGAAGGAACAAAGGTTGGATGATGAAGCAAAAAGCAAAAAGCAAAGGACTTTTTTATCCGCCTTATGGAAGCATGTTGCGGTTTGGGAGGGCCTCATGGCAGCCCATGCGCATGATATAGGGCTGATAGTGAGACGTGAAATATCGAATATTGTTCGGAAGTAAAATACCGAATTCTTGGCCCTCAGTCCAATGAGGAGGATATTCATGAAGAAGTTCAACAAGGCGGTCCTCGTTGTGGAGAGCGAAAGCGTCTCCAGTCTCATCTTGCCACCGGATGTCCATGGAGGACGGGGGAAGATAGCGATCCCACGTGTACCAGGCGTGTTGGCTGATGCAGTAGAGCAGGTTGTACACCGCGAATGATTCAAGACGGTGGGTGTTAAGCAAGACGTTGTAGGTGAACAGGGCAAGTTCTTCATTCCTGCTAAGGTTGGGTAGCACATCACAGGTCGTGGCGTCCATGACATCATCATGGATTTTGTTCATAAGTGGACGTACTGGTTCGAGGTCCACAATGACAAGTACTTTGCGAAGACGAGGAGCAGGAGGTGTCTCAGGCCATGGATCAAATTGCTGACTGCGTTGTTGTGGGTGGCGGCTGTGCCACATGGGATCGTCTCGTGAACGAGAACGCTCAGGTGCAGTTCGTACATAGTTAGATGAGTGAGCCATATTTGCTGAGGAACATATGAGATTGGTCGCACAATACAAGAGGCAGTCAGGCAAGAAAGACAAAGAGTGAGAAAAGAAAGGAAAAGACCAGAAAAGAAGACCCAGAAGGAGGAAAGGGAACAAAACCCACGTCAAAACCAACTGGACAACATGCAATTGCCCACTTTTTCTGCATTGGAAGGACTGTAACATTGGTTAATCCTCCGCCTCTGGCTCGAGAGGTGGGTTAACGCGACCGTGTTGGTCAATAACTCCAGGCGTTTGTTTCAAGATTCCCCATCTCAGTTTACACACCTGAGGATTGCGATGAAGTTTGGCCCCGATCGTCTTCCACGAAGGACGGGACTTTGTGTCCTGTTTCATGTTAATCAGCTCTTGATCATCTGCGTTGGTCCATGGACGAAAGGGTGGGTCACTCTGGACCCTGCTACCACCCCCCTGCAGTTTGAAATGCTGCAATAGATATGCTGTATCTCAGCGTTAGAAAAACAAGTAGAAGTTTTACATCTGTTCAGATGTTTCACACACACACGGGTGATTGTATACGCTACAAACATGGAATTGTATGCGCACATGTAGATCTGCAAATTATATGTATACTGCAAGCTATATAAAATTCTATATGTATGCGTGCGTTCTTCCTGCCAATATAGAAACAGCACACCCTGCCTGTGCCTGGCAACACTAGGGAGCTCAGGCCTGTAAAATCTTAGCCGTTTCACACAAGTTCTTCAGCTCAATTGACATGAGCTTCGAAAAACGGCCAGGAAGGGTCGAGCATGTCAAGCTGACCAAATTGGCCAGACTCATGCGCTCCAACACATATCGAATCTTGCGTGGAGTCCTTTGGACCGTGGTACCCCCTGGCGATCGGACGACAATTTCACTCTCCACCAGCTGAAGCACTTGACCAGCTCCAGGAAGTTCGCTTTCCTTGGGTTGAAGAGGGGCCCAGATTTTCTTCATTTCTAGATTAACTACACCCATCTATACCCTCATACACCTTCACAACACTGGCCTCCACCGTTTTCCGCACATATGGCAAGATCATCTCCAAGAAGGTCGCCGGCGGAAGGAGCTTCAAGAAGTCTCGTTGCTGCTTGTCGAAGGAAGGAACGCGAGCTTCCTGTAGGAGCACTGGGTACAATGCAAATACACTCACTTTGAAAAATCAACAAGAAAGTATCAAAAAATAACGCCTGCAGAGGCCCCGGATAGCAAAATGTCTTTGCGGGCAGCGGGATCATTGGAACAAAGCGCGCACAGTACTTTGACAGCTGCAGCAGCACCCTGCAGCGGCGCAGCAGAACTGCGCAGCGGCACCAGCACCCAAGCCCAAAAGCACACAGCTCTGGCAGCAGCACTTTGTCGCGGCCGGAGCGGCACCAGCAACAAAGCTCGAAAACGCAAACAGCATTCGGACAGCGGCACCTTGCAGTGGCACCGGCACTGGAAACCAAGCTCCAGAGCGCAAACACCACTCTGACAGCAGCTCCTTGCAGCAACACCCTGCAGCGGCACAGCACGACCCCGCAGTGGGAGCAGCACCCAAGCCCGAAAGTGCACAGAGCACGCTGACACCTTGCATGACACCCTTTTGTGGCACCCTGCAGCGGCACCAGCAACCAAGCTCCAAAGCACAAACAGCACTCAAACACAAGCACCTTGCAGCAGCACCCTGCAGCGGCACCATCAAAAAAGCTCCAAGGCCCAGACAACCCTCAAACACAAGCACCGTGCAGTGGCACCCTGTAGCGGCACCCTGCAACGCACCAGCAATTAAGCTCCAAAACGCAAACATGCAACTCTTCTTATACTTAAAGTCAGAACCCCAATTGCTTCGCTATCTGGGGAAAATTACGCTAGCATAGACCCCAGATAGAAAAAGGTATTCGTGGGCAGCACTTAAATGTTTTTTCTAACGCGCACAAAAATACGACACCAGCACCCTGCAGCGGCACCCTGCAGCTGCACCCTGCAGCTTCAGCGAAGTCCGAGAGCGCACGACAGCAGCACCCTGACAGCAGCCCTGCAGCGGCACCTGAAAGCAGCATTCTGCAGTGGCACCCTACAGCGGCACCAGCAACCAAGCTTCAAAGCGCAAACGAAACAGCACCCTGCAGCAGCACATTGCAGCGGCGCCAGCAACCAAGCTCCAAAGAGCAAACAAAACTCTGACAGACATGGCAGCACCCTGCAGCGACGCCCTACGGCACCGTGCATAGGACAGCAACACCCTCCAGCAGCACCCTGCAACACCCTGCAGCGGCACCAACCAAGCCCCACTGCGCAAACAGCACCCCCTTGCAGCGGCACCCTGCAGCGGTGCCGGCAACCAAGCTCCAAAACGCAAACATGCAACTCTTCTTATACTTGAAGCAAGAACCCCAATAGCCTCGCTATCTTGGGAAAAAGACCGTTGCACCCAAAATGTCCCAAATTGAAAGTGCCCAAACCTCGTGAAAGCTTTTGTAAACAGCAGTGGCGGCATAAACTGAGTTTCGCCAAGCATCATGAGCCAGATGGCAGAAACCACAATCTGCACCCTTCTGACATGCGCCTCGCATCAGGAGGATGCATGGCCTTCGACAAATATTGGGATGGCCGTAGCTTCCCAGCGAAGGAATCGCCTCACCAGAGCAAGACCAGCATATGCGGAATCTCCGAATTTCACCGGCATCTCCGAAACATTTACGTGATATTTTGAGCACGTAGAACCAGCTTCCTTCCATGAAAGAGATTCAAAAAGGATGAGACCCACCACCATGCAACCCCAAAAAGTGATGTTGCCCCCTGCCTGACCCTGAGGCGCACCACGTTCAACCTGGCCTCTTAAAATGGACAGCTGCTGAGACCTTTCCTCAAGCTTGGACACCTGACCGGCCAACGCTTGATTTCAAAAAAAAATGGAAGGAAACCATGGTCTTGAATCGCAAAAAAGTGGGGTCTGCTGCAAAGCTTGCCAAAACTGATACTATGTTGGCATCGACCGGCCCCTGCCGACAGCAGGGGAGCGCGTCAGAGCAGAGGGTCCAAGACATGGCGCAAGCAGAAAGCAAGTCGCAAGAGTGAGGCAAAAAAGATAGAGAAGCGAAAGCATAAGAAAGAAGCTGACCAAAGAAGAAAGCAAGCCGTAAGAGCTGGCAAGCAAGGTGAAAGTAGGGAAGCAAAAGGCAAAAGAAAGAAGCTCTGTGGCAAGGTCCTTTTAGAATATAGTGTTTTTGGATCTACGAATAGTTTCTAGCGCTGCTGCACGCAGTCCCGATCCGTCCTTCAGTGCCATGGTGTTTTGGCTCTGCGGGAAGGCCCGCGAGAAAGCAAGAAGAAAGTCTTGGATGCTGGCATCCTGGCTCCAAAGCTTCGTTTCTGCGACAGGGTTCTTTTACCAGAGTAGTGCTTTTGGAGCTAGTTCTAATCAGTTTAAAAAGCTCCCTTTGGCACTATTGGCTGCTGGCCGTGGGCCCGATGCGTTCTTCAGTGCCATGCAGGCGCTTGGCTCCAGAGCCTGGTTTCTGCGGCAAGCTCCTTGTTTACCAGAATATACTGCTTTTTGGAGCTAGATTATACTCAGTTGAGAAACAAAACGATTGGCATTGGAGCTAGCTTCTAGTCACTTTAGAAACTTTAGAAAGCAACATTTAGCACTATGGGCTGCTGGCCGCGGGCCCGATCCGTCCTTCAGTGCCATTGTGTTTTGGCTCTGCGGCAGGGTCTTTTTATAACAGAGTATAGTGTTTTTGGAACTAGCTTCTAGTCACTTTGCTGCTGGCCGCGGGCCCGATTCGTCCTTCAGTTGGTTTGAAAGCAACGTTTGGCAGTAAGGGCTGCTGGCCGGCTCGCTCCGTCCTTTAGTGCCATGGTGGCTTATCTCTGCAGCAGGGTCCTTTTACCAGAGTAGTGTTTTTGAGCTAGTTTCTAATCAGTTTAGAAAGCAACGTTTGGCACTATGGGCAGCTGGCCGCGGGCTTCAGTGCCATGGTGTTTTGGCGCTGCGGCAAGGTTCTTTTACCGGAGTAGTGCAAGAAGAAAGCAAGCTGCAAGAGGAAACAAGCAAGTAGAATAGCAAGGAAAAGAAACATGGGTAGGAAGACAGCAAGCTGAATTTCCCCCAGATTCCCAATATACGAATCTGATTCTCATTTGCGACGCCTTCGCAATCAAAACATCGCACCCTCTCCGGCATCATCTCAGTGGATATGGCTCTGGACAGCTTGAAGGCAAGGGAAACCGAAGTTAATTTTTATGCTGGGTAAGGACGGCCAGCTATGTGATCAAGAAATCATCGACTGGCTGCGGCTTTCAATATTATAGCGCAGCGGCCCGGATGTTATTCCCGAGAGCGTCTGAGCGCAGGGTTCTTCCAATAGTGGGGGTCTGTAAAACATCTTCTCATCTTCACAACTTCTCATCTTCACATCTTCTCATCTTCACATCTTCTCATCTTCACATCTTCTCATCTTCTCATCTTCACATCTTCTCATCTTCACATCTTCTCATCTTCACATCTTCTCATCTTCACATCTTCACATCTTCTCATCTTCTCATCTTCGCATCTGCTCGTCTTCACATCTGCTCGTCTTCACATCTGCTCATCTTCACATCTTCACATTTTCACATCTGCTCATCTTCACATCTTCTCATCTTCACATCTTCACATCTTCACATCTTCACATCTTCTCATCTTCGCATCTGCTCGTCTTCACATCTTCACATCTGCTCATCTTCACATCTGCTCATCTTCACATCTTCACATTTTCACATCTGCTCATCTTCACATCTGCTCATCCTCACATCTTCACATCTTCACATCCTCACATCTTCACATCTTCTCCTCTTGCCCTCTTGGCCTCTTGCCCTCTCGCCCTCTTCTTCACATCTTCTCATCCTCATCCTCACATCTTCACATCTTCATCACATCCTCACATCACATCCTCTCATCACATCCTCACATCACATCCTCACATCACATCTTCACATCTTCACATCTTCACATCTTCACATCTTGCCCTCTTGCCCTCTTGCCCTCTTGCCCTCTTGCCCTCTTGCCCTCTTGCCCTCTTGCCCTCTTGCCCTCTTGCCCTCTTGCCCTCTTCCCCTCTTGCCCTCTTGCCCTCTTGCCCTCTTGCCCTCTTGCCCTCTTGCCCTCTTGCCCTCTTGCCCTCTTGCCCTCTCCTTCTTTTCTATTTCTCTTCTGAAGGCGGGGGCAGGGGCAGTGCCAACGAGACGGCACGAAACGCAACCCTTTCAAACGAAATGAGGTTCGATCGTCAAAAACTGAGGTAAAATTGCGATTTCCGGGTTCCCGTTGCAACCCTTTCGCACGAAATGAGGGTCGATCGCCAAAAACTGAGGTAAAATTGCGATTTTTTCTGTGTGTACAAAGCTATTCTGTGTGCTGTGTGTCAAAGCCTCTGTGTGTAAAAGCATCTGTGTAAAAGCGTCTGTGTAAAAGCGTCTGTTTAAAAGCTTCTGTGTGCTCTGTGTAAAAGTGTCTGTGTGTAAAAGCTTCTGTATGTGAAAGCGTCTGTGTGTAAAAGCGTCTGTGTGTAAAAGTGTTTGTGTATAAATGTATTTGTATGTGAAAGCGTCTGTGCGTAAAAGTGTCTGTGTGTAAACGCGTCTGTGTGTAAAAGCTTCTGTGTGTAAAAGCGTCTGCATGTAAAAGCGTCTGTGTGTAAAAGCGTCTGAGTGTAAAAGCGTCTGTGTGTAAAAGCGTCTGTGTGTAAGCGCGTCTGTGTGTAAAAGCGTCTGTGTGTAAGAGCGTCTGTGTGTGTAAGAGCGTCTGTGTGTAAAAGCGTCTGTGTGTAAACGCGTCTGTGTGTCAAAGCTTTTGTCTGCAAAAGTGTTTGTGTGTCAAAGTGTTTGTGTGTAAAAGCGTCTGTGTGTAAAAGCGTTTGTGTGCAAAAGCGTCTGTGTGTAAAAGCGTCTGTGAATGCGTCTGTGTGTAAAAGCGTCTGTGTGTAAAAGTGTTCGTGTCTAAAAGCGTCTGTCTGTTAAATCGTCTGTTTGTAAAAGCGTCTGTGTGAAATAGCTATATTGTCTTGATACTCCTCTTCCTGTCTGCCTATAATACATCTTTAATATATTGTCCTGTCATATGGTGTCTCCATACTAACAAGAGAAGACCCTGCTCCTCTACGCTCTCGGGCCATCCGTCGTCTAGTTTTTTTTGAACTGTGTTTGTTGTGCAATAAGACTATGAAATGTTTTGGAATGATATACCTGGGACTTGGGAGATGCCATCTGGTCCTATGTTGACACATGGCACCGCAATGCTTAGGGTCAGGGCAGAGCCCCTTATTTTCACTCAGCCCTGGTCCGCAAAGTGGTGACAACGACCCATTGGGGCTTGAAAGTTTCAGCAGGCATAGGTGGAGATGATCTTCTGCAATTCAACAAGTCAAGTTGCCATACCAGCAACCAAGATGTCAAAGCTGCGACGCTCATTTGACAGATGGTGGAACCTGTCGCTTGGATCTCGCCCACCGGTCGGCTGGGTTCGACTCATTTCACTCGCCTTTCTCCATTCCACTATACTGGGCGGGTGGGTGTGGTCAAAAAATTACCTTCAAAGACACCACATGGCCTTGAGCCAAAATGGCCCACAATGGTGTCACCTCAAGTCACACACCAACCCCTGTGGCAATATCATTGCTCCACACAAAAATTCCACTATGTTACGTTTTGTTTCAAAACACGTCAAGTTGCCATGCCATCAAGATGTCAAAGCTGCGACGCTCTTTTGACAGATGGTGGAACCTGTGGCTTGAATCTCGCCCACCGGTCGGCTGGGTTCGACTCATTTCGCTCGCCTTTCTCCACTCCACTATACTGGCTGGGTGGGTGTGGTCCAGAAAATCACCTTCAACTTAATGAAGGGAGATCACACCACTTGGCCTTGAGCCAAAATGGCTCACAATGGTTTTCATCTCAAACCACCCACCGACCCCTTTGGCAACATCATTGTTCCACACAAAATTCCACTCTGTCACATGTTGTTTCAAAACAAATCAAGTCGCCATGCCAGCAAACAAGATGTCGGCTGGGTTCGACTAATTTCACTCGCCTTTCTCCACTCCACTATACTGGGCGGGTGGGTGACCACGGCGGGCGTGGTCAAAAATTCACCCTCAACCTCATGAGGGGAGCTCACATCACTTGGCCTTGAGCCAAAACGGCCCGCAACGGTGTCATCTCAAACCACCCACTGGCCCCTGTGGCAAGTTCCGCACCAAATTCCACTGTGTTACAATTTGTTTCAAAACAAGTCATGTTGCCATGCCAACAAGATGTCAAAGCTGCGACGCTCTTTTGACAGATTTTGAGTCTCGCCCCACCGGTCGGCTGGGTTCGACTCATTTCACTCGCCTTTCTCCACTGCACTACACTGGGCGGGTGGGTGACCAGGGCGGCGGGTGTGGTCAAAAATTCACCGTCAACTTCATGAGGGGAGGTCACACCACTTGGCCTTGAGCCAAAACGGCCCACAATGGTGTCATCTCAAACCACCCACAGACGCCTGTGGCAACATCATTGTTCCACACAAAACTCCACTGTGTTCCACTTTTTTCAGAACAAAGCAAGTTGTCATGCCAGCAAACAAGATGTCAAAGCTGCGACGCTCTTTTGACAGGCGGACCTGTCAGTTTGAATCTCGCCCCACTGGTCGGCTGGGTTCGACTCATTTCACTCGCCTTTCTCCTCTCCTTTGCTTCGCACGAGTTCAGCACATTTCTTGCAGGTCCCACCCCTGTGTCCACAACTCATCAGTGTCCTCAGCAGCACTCTCGATCTGAATCTCGTTTCCTCGCTCTGGCGCTGCTCTTGGGGGCGTGCTTCTTGATGAGTCGCGGCAGCCCTTGGTGTCCCCCTGAACTCTGCCTTATCTGGCGTTGGTACCCGGAATAGTTTTGAAATCTCCTGCGCCGCACACACGCCCAGGCACAGCCCATGGCGTGGCAGAGGAACCTATCAGGGTCAACCATTGTATGGTAGACGCCAACGTGATGCTTTCGGGGGTCATGTTTGAGCTGAGATCTTCCTCTCGGCAACGGACGGCAGAGGGTGCAAGAGATGCTGCTGCAAGGCTTTCATCATGACAGCATCAAGGGCTCTTGGCAACACCAGCTTTTCCTAGCCTTGCTGTTACCTCGGCTCCGCCTCAAATCTATAATTAGCCGCCTCTTCTTCTTGGACCCGTCTGGCCGGGCTCCTTGCTTATTGTGGCCAGCTTGCCGATGGTCCCTTGCGAGAAATTTTGATGTAGCCCCTCTCTTGAAACCATCGTTGCATAGGCGAGCTTGATCAGTCTTTGCACTTCCACTTCTGCGTCCTCAAGGTTCTCGGAGATGCTCGTGTAGTAGGCGATGAGCCGTCATAGGCTGCACATCATCTGCCCGACTCTTTGATGTGCCAAGACCTCGTCAACATCGCCAGCCTTTCTGGTCCAGGCCCTCCCTCAAGTGCCATGCTCCCGCATACAGCCTGTTGAACTTCTCGATGTCGGCCTCGAAGCCGCGCATGTTGCCATCGTTTGGATGTCCAACATCATGAAGGCAGCGCGATACACCCTGCAACACGCCTTCCACTGCTCGAAGGGTCCCGGAATGCAGTGTGGATGTAGGTGCGATACTTCTGGCTTCTGTGAGCCTTCCCCCCATGCGGCAGGAAGGCGCTGAAGTCTGCGTAAGGCCCAGCTCCCTCGCCAGTCTCTTCTGCAGCGCTCCCCGTCTGGTTCACGACGGACTGGAGCCATAGTTGCTTCTGTTCCTCTGTCGCGGTCGTGAACTCCGACTCGTCTCCTTGGTCCAGCACTGTTGCGAACTTCATCTTTCTCTCCACCGCAGCCTTCGTCACCGCCTTGCGCGAATTGTCTGCCGTGGGGACCCAAGGATCTGTCTGGATCCACCCAGTGTTGCAAATCCACCCCAGAATCCAGATGCAGCTACCAACCCTAACAGCACCACCTGGATCACCGTCAAAGTGTCCCCGGAAGGAAGTAACGCCGCCTCCACCGTAGCCGGCGCCAGGATCCCACCATTCGAGTGAGCACCTGCCAGACCTCGTCGGATACCTGGTAGAACCCCCGACAGGCCCGCAAGGAGGAAAAGGCAGCCAAATCGGTGGGCCAGGACATGCGTGGGGCGGAAGCTCCACTTCAAAAATTCACCCTCAAACTTATGAGGGGAGCTCATACCACTTGACCTTGAGCCAAAATGGCCCATGATGGTGTGATCCCAAACTACCCACCGAACCCTGTGGCAACATCACTGCTCCACGCAAAATTCCACTGTGTTGCTTTTCGTTTCAACAGAAACTGGTGTTTGATGTGTTTCTGAAAATGGGGGAGGACCTTTAAACTTTAAAGAGCAATTTAGATTTGAAATATGCCGATCCTGATCAAGCCATTAAATTTGGAAGTACCTTTTTCCAAACGGACGGAAATATCTCCCAAAAAGAAAGTATATGTCCCAGCTTGCATCAATCAGATTTAGACACTCCCCTGCCTGCAATGCCAATCGTTTACGTTCGTGCATTGATCCAAGGTTGTTGGCATTCTTCGTGAATGTTGGCGTCTTCCTCTGCTGCTTCCGAAAATATGCCAACAGAGCTGAAACGGCCTTCCAGAGGTACATCATTTCCCCCTGAAAAAAAGAAAAGGCGTGAACTAAACTTTGCAAAACTATCTCAGACACACAAGTTAGTCTTTACTGGCTTATCCTGATGCAGACTATCACCTGTGCGAACTAAATTTTGGTATCAAAATTGTGAACAGTACAAAAGCAAAGATTCAGCGCTGGTGGGCAGCTCTTCGCTCGGATGACCTCTGCTGTTGGCTCGGCGACTTCATCGATGAAGGTCATCTGGTAGCGGAAGCCCATTGCCAGGAGGCCACGAGGCACGGGTGATATTGTTTCTGGTCACGGGCAAAAACTGCAGTGATGCCACGGCAGTTTTGCAAGTACATTTAGCCACAAGCAGACTAGTGATTGATTGAGCCCTTCGCACTTGGATATCTAGATACCTACAAAATATGGATGAGTCGATCAATTTTCAACACTCCCAGTGGTCACAATGGACAGCAAAAATGCCTGAAAGCCGCTCAGGCCGCAAGATGGGCAAAACCCATGCAACTGAGGCACATCAGGGGAGTGCAGCACCACAACCCAGTCAGCTTGACCACGGTAACCTGCATGGAAACGTCGTTTTTGGTTTGAACCACGAGCAATCGAACCTCAACAAAGGGTGGACGTAACCAACAATTTGATCACCCAAAATCAGCAATCTCGTCTCACCTGGCAAAAGTGGAAATGCCATCAACAGAACAAACAGGATGTAACCGAAGGAAGTTTAGAAGTCAAACTTCCGACAATATGGAGAGATGAAAAAGCAGTCAGCAGGGAGAAGAGTCAGAAGAGAAAAGATCAGAAGAAAGAAGATGCAGGTGCGCGAAAAGGTAGGAAAGTCGCGAAACATTGTGTTTTTTCGTGGTTTTGTGGCTCCGGAGGGCCGAAAAGTAGGCTGGCTAAAGCAGCGGGTGCGGAGACATCTGGGGAGATGAGAGATGAAAAGTTGCACGCCGTTGTGGCGCGAAGCCGATTTCGAAGTGAAAAGGTACAAAACACCTCAGCGCCGGACCACTTTTGGAAGTTGAGATGTTGAAAAAGTGCATGGCGTTGTGGCGCGAAGCACATTTGGAAGTAAAATGTGTTAAAAACTGAGGGGTTCGGAGCAGTTTTGGAAGTTGAGATGACGAAAAAGTGCACGGCGTTGTGGCGCGAAGCACATTTGGACGTAAAAAGTGTTAAAAACTGTCGGTCTCGGAGCACTTTTGGACGTTGAGATGTCGAAAAAGTGTACGGCGTTGTGGCGCGAAGCACATTTGGAAGTAAAAAGTGTTAAAAACTGGCGGTCTCGGAGCACTTTTGGAAGTTGAGATGTCGAAAAAGTGCACGGCGTTGTGGCGCGAAGCACATTTCGAAGTCAAAAGTGTTAAAAACTGAGGGTCTCGGAGACATTTTGGACGTTCAGACGTCGTTTTGTGTGGCAGGTGGAGTGGATTGTGCATCCACTGAAAAGTGACTAAAACGTGAGGGTTTTGTAGCATTTTCAAAAACGATGGCAGGCGTGGGAGATTTGAAGAGGATCTGCACAGATGCATTTTTCGTGGCAGGCGCAGTACAAGAGGCATCTTCAGCAGAGATGTTCGGAGCTCAAGGAGCTGATTTCCTGAGAGGGGTTGCATTTTGGCGTATCAAATCATCAGCTATGCCAAGATGCTTTTTCGTGACAGGTGCAGCATTTCGTATGACCTGGACTAACTTTTTCGTGGCAGGCGCAGTACTTTAGAGACATGGCATGGAAAAATCACAAAACGCATTGGTACGAGGCCGTCAGCTGTACAGTCAACTTTCCATTTTTGAAGGAAGTCTCGCGGAATTGCTTCGTTTTTGATGTTTTCAACTGCAAAAAGTGAGAAAGTCTCGCAGAATTGCTTCATTTTTGATGTTGCCAGCAGAAGTCTAGCAGCATTGTTTTGTTGTCGACGTGGCGGCTAGACAGATTGATCGACAGGTCAAGAGGTAGATCGAAGAACAGGTGGCGAGAGAACTTGACGGATGAAAAGATGCATAGATAGACACATAGGGAAGTAAAAAGTGTTAAAAACTGTCGGTCTCGGAGCACTTTTGGACGTTGCGATGTCGAAAAAGTGTACGGCGTTGTGGCGCGAAGCACATTTGGAAGTAAAAAGTGTTAAAAACTGGCGGTCTCGGAGCACTGAAAAGTGACTAAAACGTGAAAAACGATGGCAGGCGTGGGAGATTTGAAGAGGATCTGCACAGATGCATTTTTCGTGGCAGGCGCAGTACAAGAGGCATCTTCAGCAGAGATGTTCGGAGCTCAAGGAGCTGATTTCCTGAGAGGGGTTGCATTTTGGCGTATCAAATCATCAGCTATGCCAAGATGCTTTTTCGTGACAGGTGCAGCATTTCGTATGACCTGGACTAACTTTTTCGTGGCAGGCGCAATACTTTAGAGACACGGCATGGAAAAATCGCAAAACGCATTGGTACGAGGCCGTCAGCTGTACAGTCAACTTTCCTTGCTGTTACCAGTGTTAGTGTTGTCGTTGGAACGCTGGAATGATGGTGTTTTTTCTGACCCATCCGTGTAGCGTCTGCGTTTTGCATCCGTTTTGTCTCCGACACCGATCGTGCAACCGTAGGCCGACGAAGGAAAATAACGCGGTGGGAGCTCTTGCAGGCATCGGTTTTTTAAGCACAACAGGGGATAGGCGCAATGGGATTTGATAGCTAGATCGATAGATAGACGGGTAAATAGATCGATAGATAGATAGACAGATCGATGCATCGCAAGATCCATAAATACATCGAGAGATAAATCGAAAGATGGGTGGCTAGATAGAGAGACAGATCGATCAATAGACAGGTAGATGGATCGACAGATGGACACATAGATCGCTAGATCGAAAGATTGCTAGAAGCGTCGATGACCAGATAAACGCATGGGTAGCTAGATAGATGGATGGATAGCTGGAAGAAGGGGTAGACGGACAGATGCATGGATGAATCGATAGAGAAACAGAACGAAGAACATGGTGATGGATAGCTGTGGACATGGATCGATGAAGAGATGGACGGGAAAAAAACTAACAGAGAGAAGTAAGTGGATGGATGAATGGCTGGATAGACAGAAAGATAGACAGTTTAATAGATAGGTGAATAAACAAATCGATCGATAGATACATGAATAGACAGGTAGATAGGTAGATGGCTAGAAAGGTAGCTCTGTAGATAGATGGCGAAAGAGAGACACAGAGAGAAAGAGAGAAAGAGAGACAGAAAGGGAGAAACACTCAACCACCTTTCAATCCATCAGTGGGTTCGCTCTGCCATTTTTGCGTCACACCAACTCACCTCTCCTATAGGTTTTCCATTTTTGAAACTTCCGCCACCGCCTTGTGCGGTACTACTGGTATATTCACCCAGCGCAAATGTAGGTCGTGTGGATCGACTCTGGTTTCGCAGGCCGCTCCCATCAGTGCATTCAGTAATGGTTGGAAAAATGCAGGTAAGTGGCGCCAGAGGCAATAGTTCCTGATTGCTCAAGCAGTGAAACTGACCAGAAAGAAGTGTTTGCCATCTCCAGTCTCCTGAAATTATATCAGTCTGCTAGCTCTTGTTGTATCCATTCATACTCGGGAGAGTAGTGTCTATTTTCAATTTGGGTTGCTCTTGTTCCTGTTTAGTACAACAGTGTTATGGACATCAGGTCCATTGAAACAACAAGAAATCAACTCCTAGGAAAATCCTTAGTTGTGGGCAGTTTCTTCTCCCATCAAAATATCTAGTATCTCACCACGTTTGTTGGTTCAAACCCCTAACCGCATATTGATCAGATCCCCATTTACACTGGTGAGAACCCTCTACCTTTCTTGAGTGATGTTTCAAGATCTTTCTTGGTCGAAGCCACAATTCTTCTTGTTTGGTCCTAGTCTTTGGCTGGTGAAACTACACCAAACAGAAAGCCAAAAATTCTTCCACCATCAGCTCCGAAAGCCAAATGCTGCCTGGTTTCTCAGCTTCAACCTCAAATAGCAGGGGGCGCCAGGCTTCGGACCCACCTCAGAGGGTCAAAGCCCATGACCTTCCATGAAAAAAATGGGGCCTCAACCAACAAAGTAAAGGGACTTAACCCACCATAAAGTACTGGAAATCCTGCGAGCGATTTAAGCAGCAACACCGGGAGGTTCACGACCGTGGGGATTTAGAGTAGAAATGTGATGGTGAGTTGTGTCAGTGATTAAGTACAACTGGTTTGTCGGGGATCATGAACTAGAATTATCTGAGGTGGGAGCCCAACCAATTTTGGGTGGTGGTCATTCACACGCTTTGGAAGGTGGATTGGTAAATGCTGTGTTGCACCAAACTCCCAAGATCAAGATCACTACACCAATATGACTCAGTCTGCATCGCTGATCAAAATGGAGGGGTCAAGTGGCTAGTCATATTCATTACTAAATACACAATCACAATATGAGATCCTGCTATTCCAGGACCCTAGAGAACTGTCCCACTGGCTATGTTTCGGGTGATGGTTATGGATCAAGCCAGGAAGTCAGCCCATTTTTGATGGGTTATTTGGTAAATTTTCAGCCCGCGCTCCATACATGTTCATCATTTCCAGTCTCATCAAAACCTTTCCCGTTTTCCTTTGGTGGGATCCTAAGCAAAGCCTCACACAAAGGCCAACAGCGACCCAATTCAGGCGGGAGGTGACCCAACGGTTCAGATTTGCCCTTGTTGCTGGTCACCTTGGCATGGGTGGAAATCAACTGACGGTCGAGCCTACATCATCCATCTTGGCTGCGGCTACCCTACCCCTGCAGCCGGGAGGCTTGGTGCGTGCGCCGCGCCAAAGCGCTTTGGCCAGTGGTCCACGTAGTAAAACTGTCAAGCGTGGAAAAGTGGCACTCAAAAAGTGACAAGTTTGTTTCGCCACCACCGCTTGGATGGTTTTAAGTTCTAGAATGGCAAATCATTCAAGGTTTTTGGGTCCCGGAATGGAACTGTTTTCATGGCTTTTAGGCAGGGAAGTGTATCCTGTGCTGAACCAACCCATCACATCAGGTGCAACACATGTTTGCAGTCAAATGAAACTGTTTTGGGCTGCCAGACTGGTGGTGCCCCATCCTCCACAACCCACCTCCATAGGAATTTGGGTTTTAGCACGATATCGCTCCAGGGGCCCCGAGAGACTTCCGTCTGCATCGAAGATAGTGAAATGATCAATGCCCATGAGCCGGTGATAGTCCTGGACTCAATAATGTCCTTTTGGTAAGAAAAAGAGGGGCCGGTTTGGTATACCAACATCATTTACCTGTTGTTAAAGGGGTAAACAAACCCCTCTATTAATCAACCAACCAATGGGAAAAGGACATCTATGCCTGGGAAAGAGAGATGCCTACAACTTGGGGAAACAACTTTTAAAAAAATTGAATGAAGATGGTATCTCAAATCGGCAAATGAAGGGTTCAACCGACCTTTGAGGGGAATTACCCACTGTCCCGTCAACTTGGATGTCATCACAGCTGCAAATTCACTACTTTACGTGTTTTTCCTCAGAAAATGAGGGTTGCACACAGCTGCACTCAAGGTAGTAAAGAATGTAAAATGGGTACTGCCACAAATGCATCGCATTATTTTCTATGTGTGTGTGTGCCTCAAACGCTTTTTGAACACCTCCAAATTTTGAGGGAAAACAGATGAAACTGGAAAGGCCATCAATACGAGCTAAGCGGCAAGGAAGTCTTTCAACAGAGTGGGATTCAACTCTTCCATCTTGGCAAAGCTATGTAGTGGCTGGGTACAAGCCTCCATTCCAGTCAAGGATTGCTGGCAATTGGACTGCTTTCTGTCCAATGCTCAGGTTTTCCCTTCCAAATCGAAAAAACTGAACAGCAGTAGCAAAAAGAAGCAGAAAGAGCACAACCACCCCAATCACCACATGAGCAGGGATCAAGACAAGGACTGGTGCAAAGAGAATAAGAAGAAAAGTAACATAGGTATAATTATGTGTGTGTATATATAAAAGTATATGTGCAATGAAAAAATACTTATTTTATGTGCATGTATGCAAATATCACCATATATATATATACAATCATAAATATACATTTATTTATATATATATATATAGATATATTGATATATACACATATCGTTATATATACACATATATTTATATACATATATATATATATACATCTATATATATATATTGTGATTTTCTGACACCTGCACTCCTTGAGACAGCCTGACAGGTCATGTCGCTATGCCCATGCATGCCAGACTGCGGGAGAACCATTATTTGCGGCCGCCATCTCACAAGGCCCAAGATGGGGTTGCACTAGGCTGCGCGAGTGTCTGAGGAAAAGGCCTTCAGACCGTCTGGCCGCAGGGGGCGTTCGGACCATTTGGAGCCATAGTGGTGGCTTTGGTGAAACCTTTGGTTGTTGGTGGACCAACACCGCTGGGGTTCAGGAGAACTATTTTCTTTGATAGGGTGTGGCCCCTTTAAAGCCATTGGATTCCCTGGGCAAGAGCGAAGGGTCCCTACCAGTGTGATCAATTCACACTGGTAGCGGAGCCGAGAGCTCCCCAGAACGATGTTGCAATCAGTGCAGGTGAGGATCAGAAAATCTTCCTTGTCCTGGAAGGGAGCAGATCACGGGCCATAGCTGCCTATCGTCATGTCGGAGCAGGCCGCGCAAACGAGCGAAGCAGCTGCAGCAACTGGCACCGGATCCTTCGGATCAGCCTCGCACTTGCCATGGCATCTGATACCAGCATTTGATCGCAGTGAAACCGACCTGACAGAGTATGCCAGAAGGTTGGAATTCTTGGCCGGAACCACCGGAGCACTTGAGCCAGCTGGCTCCTCGGGCCGCTCTGCAATGCTGCGGTTCGGCCCTTCAGAAGGTAGTGAGACTCAAGCCTGAACAACTGAAGGTAAACTCCTTGGATGGCATCAAACTCATCGCAAGCACCAAAGGATGCACACCCGAGAAATTATAGTGTTAGGTCCTGGAGCAGGCTTCGGATTGCAAGGCCGGATGGCCACAAGTGAGAGCTCCCTAGCTCTTTGACTGACCACGGTCTGCCTATGGCGTATCAAGCACCGAATCCACATCCCACCCACCTACGCTAGAGCTTTATTGGGCCCAAAAGTGCTATATGTCAATGCCCCTTCTTACTGGAACGTGGACATCGGTTGGAAGGCAGGAGGTTCATGTCAACAGGTTTCAAGTGCAACGATGTGGATTCAAACTCCCAAAAAATCCAATGTTTAGAAAACATTCATCGTTGCACCCTTTGCATTCAGAAGTCTTCAACCAGCGAAGGCGGTTCCTGGATGACGCGCGGTTCTTGAGAATCTCCAACTCATCATTGAGACGATAACGACCTATTTTCAAGGTTTCACGCAAGAAGGAAGTTTCCATTACTTTGGTAAGGCAATCTGCTAACTGTGCTGCGCTATGTACCCATCGCAGTTCAACTCCTTCAGAAATCAGGTCTTTGATCGCTCTCGCATTGAGCTGGGTTCTGTATTCTGCACAGTTCGGCGTTGCAGTTCGGGTGATTAGATCGTAAAGTGATTTACAATCAGTGGCAGCTACACTTTCAGGTAAATTTTGTGCTTGAATGGTGGCAGTGGCATATGTTGAGGGTAATCCTTTGAGTGTGGTATTTGGTTGTTTCCAATTGACTGTAAGATCTAACATCCAGGCCCAGCACAATCGCATCCAAGACAGGTGGTCCAGGACGCTATTCAAGGACACTGTTTCCGCCGCCAGTGTACTCGTGACAACCCTTTGAATCTTCTTGCAACCTCATGACAACGGCGAGACTGGGCAGGCTACATTTTCACTGATGAGTCTTTGGGTTCCCATGATCAAGCTACCTGTATGTGAACTGGGGTTACTTTTTGAGGCAAAAGAGGCATCCGAGAAGGCTAGGAAGCGAAAATCTTCCAGTGGTATAGGCTGTATCTGAATTGTAGTGTCGTGATGTTTCTTTGCTTCATGGAGGGCTTGATTGGCATTTATCAAGGTGGTTACTGTTGCAGAGTTGATTGAGGATTGAAGCATGCTTAACCGACTGGAAGATCGGGTCTTGTATGTACTGCAGCGTACTGTAGACTTCCCACTAGTCCCCGCAAGGCTTGTCTTTCTGATTCCGTGACCTTTCCGTCCGGAAATTTTCGGCGTTCAAGTGAAATTTTGATGGGTTCAATTGCTTTGACATAATTGGATTGTTTCATAGTGATAGTTCCGTTTGGAAGTTGGTCCATTTCAATCCCAGTGAATGTGAATGGTTTCAATTTCTTGCTACCGAAAGGATATTTTTGTTCCAACTGGTCAAGTTTCTTTGAGAAATATTCTGAACCTCCACAAACCCCATCGTCCACATGAAGTCCTCAGATACCTTCCAGGGTTCCTGTCTCGTGATGATACAATAGGAATTTACATGTGAATCCCAAGTTTTTGAGGGCTTCGGACATTGCCACAAACCATTGATATGGGGCGTCAATGAGACCGTAGGCACCTTTTTCTAGCTTACAGACTTCGTTCTCAGCAAGTCGCAGGGCTTCCACAAGTTCGCTGACTGGTTCAATGGCCAATGTCCGGTTGGACTGAGGCTTTCCTTGAAGAAACGCAGCTCGAATGTCAAACGATGGGAGTTGCCAACCCTTGGAGGCTATGAGCCGCAACAACAGCATTTTTGAGTTCCTGCCAAGAGTAGGTGAATCTCTGGGCAATTCTTCCAATTTCGGATCAAGGTATCCTAGGATTACCTATCTGGCCTTGGCTTTGGTGGCCTTTCCATGGTTGGACGGATCATCGATTGGCTTCCATGTTAAAACCCAACGGCACCGCAAAATTTGTTCGGGGGGCACTTGTTCCCGAAGTATTTTGGAAATGGTTCCAGTTTTGATCCAAATTTGGACTTCGGCCATTTTGGCCTTTTTGAACTCAAGCCTTTCGGCCTTTCGGATTCATTCAAAGTTGTCTCTTCGCGGCGGAGACAAGGAAGGCCATGTCGGTGGCATTTGGTTCATTCTTCCAAGCTTGGATGTCCTTTTCAAAGAACGGTATCTCACACTTCCAGGCTAGCGGATCACCTTCAGACCACATGCATGGATCATCATCTATGCACAGCAACTGGTCACAGGCTAGATCATCCGCATCATCATCAGGCACCGGAGTAGTGATTGCAGGATCATCATTGGGGTTACTATTATGGTGGCTTGGATTATTTAATTGGGGTTCAAGGTTATTTTCGTCGACTGGTGAATTATTAGAGTGAGATGGTGTAGTATGGCTTGATGGAATTTCTGGTTCATTGCCGGGTTGACCATCTGATGGTGGTTGAATCTGTGGATTTCTAGTATCAGGCATTGATGGCAAATTTTCAATTGGAATTTCTTCAGGTAAGTTGATGGCTTGAGTGATACCTTGTGATTGAATTTGGGTCAATTGTTGGGCAATACTGGATACTGAAGGTTCTTTTGAATGAAGAGGAATCTCCCTTGCCTCATTTGCCGTTACTGGCCGAACATGTTCAGGTGCAAACTGGTGGAGCTTGCAGGCAAGTGTTGTCCAGATAGTCTGAGCATTTTCGTGAACCACAACTTTCATGGGACCTAACCAATGACCTGGTTGAGCACCTTTACCCTGTTTCCATGTCATGACCCACTCCCCTGGCATGTAGCTTTGACCGCCTGGACGCGATCTTCTTAGCAGTGCTCGTCGAAGACTGGCGTCATTGTCTGATAAAAGGCTAACCGAGCAGCTTCGCGAGACGCAAGCTGTCTTCGGAATGCAATTCCCTGGGCCGTGTCAGCATCTGCAATTGCTGCAAGAAAGCGCGCTGGCAGCATTTCGTCACTGCACACTGCGCCAGGCAGTCTGGTTTGCTTACCAAGTACCAACACTTCCGGAGCAAAACCCTTCTTAAGACTACAGGCGTTCTTGGCTCTGATGCACCAAAACAAGGCTTGTGAAAGGTCATGATACTGGGAAATTGGATGTTCACTTTCAAACTTGGTCAACATGGTTTTGAGGACTGCCCCATGGCGTTCGGCTTTTCCGTTTTGATACTGAGCCTCAGGGCTGATCGTCGACAGTTTGATGTTGTGAGCTTGGGCGAATATGGAAAATTCCTCAGAATTAAATTCGCTACCAGCATCTACAATGACTTCACTGGGAGATCCCGCCCATGCAAACCACATGTCTGCCAAAGTCTGAATGATGGCAGAAGATGATCGGTCAGGAGCAATTCTGGCACATTGAAAATTCGTGGCCCAGTCCACCACATGAAAGACCCGAAATTGAGTTCCATCCTTGTTTGTACAATCAAACTCGTCCATGCAGATTCGATCATTGAAGTCAAGTTCATCTCTAATGCTACCAGGACGGGCCAGTCTCGGTTGTTGTTGCTCCTGGCAGGCTGAGCATTTGAGTTCCAAGGCTGCTTGTGCAAGTTCAGCTCGAAATCCCTGACTCCTTAACAAGGTACTCAATCTTTCTCCACTTGGATGACCTAGGTTCTTATGGGCTCTGAGTAAGGCTATCTGTTCATCTCTTGGTAAGGCCCGAAAACGAGCTGACTGCTTGGGATTGTGCAAATCGGCAGCTTGAGAACTCGTGAGTTCTTGGGAGACTTGACAGTTGATCATGCCTGGCTTGGAACTCGGTAGAGAGACTTCGCTCTCTCCGTGCAGTTCAGATTCTACTGAATTGCCCGGCATCTGGCTGGGGTTCATGGCCGGTGTGGAACTGGGCATGCACGGCAGAGTCATACTCTCAGTCTGCACCGCTGGGGCAGGCAAGTCTTTGGCAAACAACGTGAGATTGATTCTTGTGGCATGTGAAGGCCTGATCAGATTACGTTTTGCTAAAAGTTCCCAAGCTTCCCAATCCTCCTCTGCACGGATCTCTCCTGAACCTCTTTCAGTGTAAACACATCGACGGTAAGGTGCCATTCCTCTGAGAATATTAGCAGGTGGTGCTAATGTTCGGCTAGCCCCACGACATGCAACTACCGTTACCAATGTTTTGTCAGGAATCAAAGGTTGGATCATGTTCAAAAGTTCAGGATCATCCAAACACCTTTTGCCAACCCTTCGAATCATTGTATGGACTTTATCCATTATGGTTTGCCATATGCTCTTGGTATCCACAGGAGTTGTTTTGACGCTGCATTTCAAGCGTTTTCCCCAGGGCAAACTTGAGATCTCCTGAGTCCGGCTGAGCTTCGCAGAGGCATATCGCTGCAATCGCTGTCGCTTTGGCTGTGGACCTTCGGGTTCAGCAGCGGCCAGTGCTGGCCAAATCTCATTTCGGTAAGGTTCTTCCAAAGGCTTGTGCACTCGACCAAGGATGAAAGCTAGCTTTCGTGCAAACTTTCGAGGGTAGTTTTCAGTGAAGCTGGACCTGTTCATCCTTTGACCCCCTACATTGACTGATGTTGGTGGTGACCTGGGCATCTGAGTCCAGCGAGTGACTTTACCATATATTTCGAGGTGGTCATTATGGTAAGTGCTTTCTTGATTGGGAGACCATTTTGGGGATCTTTCAAATCTCCGGCTATGCAAAGGTCAACATCGATCGCTAACATGTAATACCTGACTTCCTGCATGTAAGGCACTTTGAACATTAACGAGTTGTGAGGCTGTTCCCAATGCATATGGCTCGAGTGCTGGCGCTGGTAGCGCAAGATGATAACCCCTAAAGCTACTTGCTCAAGGTGTTTCATCCTTTCATGTTGCAAACCATCCCAAGCATCAACGGAACGGCTGCCAATGAGACACGAAAAACCACTCCAAGGGCCACATGTCGGTGAAAACCAAATGCTGCGAGGTCTTTGATTGACCATTTGCATGAACAATGATTCTCGGCCCGAAGAGGTTTGGAGGTCTCCCTGCGACATGCTAAAACGCTCAGCACGGTATCCCAGTTTCTGGGATTGGGCAGTCAATTGGCTCTGAGGCCCACAAAAGACCTTCCAGCAAGTCCAGTCTCAGTGCTTTGTCAGATCTGAGTCCATGTTGTTGTGAAGTGGTTTGGAGTTGCTTGGTATATTTCTGAATGAGTTGTTGGAAATGGATTCTTTCACGGTTGCTTTCAGGTGATAAATGGTCAGTAGTTTGGAAAATGCAATCATCACTGAAATCTCCGGCTGACAGCACTGAGTTCAGGCTAGGGCACCCTTCAGATCTCACTGCTCGCTGATCAGCGTGGTGGTGTTCTGCTCGATGTAGTTGACGATCTTGTTCAAGACGTTCTCCACCTGCTGCATCCGCGATTCCAGATGTGATGCCGTGAGCGTGGGCATCACTGGCTCGATCTGAGGCATCAGTTCGGGTTCTGACGTCTCTGGAACGGTCCCGAACAACTCCGGGTCCTCTTCTTCTAGGTCCCACACATCCGCCGGCATCTCAGATCTGGGTGCCGGCATCGTCCTCTCTTTCGGCTGAGCGCCACAGATCTGGGCAGTGCTGATCTGCCTTGGACTCGTGGCAGCTGGTATCTCTGTGCTGCTGGTGGCCGGAATCTTCGACCCTGACAGCTCGCAGCGCTCCACCTTCTTGTCCACATAGTAGAGGAACACTCGGTGATCCCATTTGTGGCTCTTGCTGTAGTGTTGGGCAAACCACAGGATCCACTTCTGTTCCTGGCGCCACATCTGGCTGAAGGTCTTGCCCACATGTGTCTTTCCGAACTTGATCTTGTAGTTGTCCAGCTGTTCCATCGACAGATGACTGAAATCGAATTCTGGATCCGACACTGGTTCCTGCACTCGTTGAAGACGCTGGGACAGAGTTGACATGGCCATGACGGTTGATCACCTGAAAACTCTTGGGCAAGGACTTGGGCCTGAAAGGACTGTGATCATCATCCCACTGTACTTTCTTGGCAACCATCTTGCCTTGCACTTGATTTGGATTCGTTGTGAAACTGGAGCGTGATATGTTATGTACATCATGAAATTGACTGTTACTTGGCACATGTTTGAGTGAAGTGTGGTGACTATGTACATTTGATTGGCTGGATGGTGTCGGCACGGCTGAGTCTTCTGATGTTTTGGACTCGGGCACAGGTTGATCTTCCGACCCACACACGGTCGCGTGTGTTTCGGCTGGCTTGGAAAATTCAGCTGGCATTGAAATCGGCTGTGCAAGATCGTTCAAATCGAGCAAAAACAAACCCTTGCTGGTGAGATTCAGCTGAAAACTTTGTCCTATCCTGGTGGCGTGCAAAACATGCTTGGTTGTGGCAATGGTTGCTCCAAGAGCACGCAGCAAGGTGTTCGATAGGAGAAACGGTGTCGAGCCGGGTACCACTGCTATTTTCAACAGCAGTCCGGGTATTGGCACAACAATGGCTTGGTGGCTCTGCAACACCCCATAATTCCCAAACCTGAAGGTTATAGTACATGGACACCTCTTGACATGTTTTCGGATATTGGGATCTAAGCTATTCAACAGCTCAGGTACTAACTTGCTGCCTATGACAGTTTTAGTGGCCTCCAAATCTACTATGCCAAGGCTTCCATGAGATGCAAAACAGGTCGGCTCAGGCTTGGCTTCAGCTGAAGTGCAAGATGCTGGAGCTCCCGTCACTCGGAGACGGAGGCGATGGCGGGCATCTTGGGCATCGTCATCATTCCTGACAGGTTGGCCGGTGTCACACATGGCGCGTTTCCATCTTTGCAAGTTTTCTGAAGTGCATTTTTGGGATTGGTATTACATCTATCAGAAAGCTCTATATACATGGTGAACCATCATTGTGTTACTACCGGGTCAGGCTGAGGAACATCCAACGTGGGCTCTTCATGCAATGGCAGGTTCAAAACTCCAAGGGCATGGCTCCATCTTCGGGCACATTGGATGGAGAAATCACCTGAGCAAACGTCGTAGGAGCCTGAGATGGCTTTGACTGTGCACCTGATGGATCAGGCGGCTGGGACACTCAGCCTTCCAATGTCCAACTTGATTGCACAAACGGCACCGGGACTCCAAAATTCGCTGCTGCAGTGATTTTCGTGACGAAGCATGACCTTTGGAGAATTTACCTTTCACCCCCTTGCCACTGAACTTTGATTTGCCCTTTTGGGACACAGGCCAGAAACCCCTCGAACGAACCTTTTCGTTGAGTCGCCGTCTGGCGTCCGTATAGGCAGTGAATGCGGCTGCTAACTCTTCGTCAGTTTGAAGAACTTCGGCTGCCGCCGATTCAAAGTCCATCACCAATGAGGCATCATCATCGCCCTCTTGAGCGAGAGTTTCCACTACATGATCATCATCATCCATGACGTCAGTGGCCATTGCATACTGGTCTGTTTGGGTCTCTTCCACATCTTCGGAAGCCAGAGCTGTCTGATCGTAAGTTTTCAGTTTCGAGACCCTTTTTCCGGATGTCATCTCCTGGAAAAACCCAGCTCCCAGCATTCTGATGGCTCCACTGACTCGTTGCACTGTGAATTCACCTTTGTCCGTGACGTCAGCATCGATGAGAACCCTCTTTTTGTCCTCGGCAGACAACATAGATCCCCTAAGGGTGACGTAAGCCTGTAGATCACTGAGCTTGAATTGCTTGCTATTCAACTCAGTCCACATGATGTCAGCTCTTGCCAGGTATGAATCGGCGCTTTCGTCACTCTTCTGCAAACACTTGTAAAGCGCACGCTCAGCAAACTCGTACTTTTTCTCTAAATCAATCTGTCCCCAGTGACCTCCAAGAAGCTCGATGATCCGTTGGATCGACTTGCGCTCATTGGCAATCAGTTCGGCCTGATGCAGTTGTAGCTTCTTAAAGGCCGATCCAGCACAATTCAGAATCAATCTTCCGTATGCTTTCCAGTAGGCCAAGCTTCAAGCAAAAGGGCTACCTTTTGTTGGTACACTTGCAGATCATCCTTGGCAGGGTCAAAACTAGGCACTAGAGTGGCCAGCTGGTTGCTGACATTGGTCAAGGAGCTTTCAGATCCATCGGATGCTTCAGGCATGAGCACGGCTGTCCACCACCCTGGATCCTACCGTTCTGGCAACGGCTGCTCCGCTACCAGTGTGATTGGCAAATGGGGCCTAATCAACACTGGCAGCTTGTCTCCAATCCACCTCCCAAAACGTCCAGCTGCTGTCGTCACCTTTTGGCGGCACGACCACTCAAAAGTCAAGGGCCTGGAGCAGGCTTCGGATTGCAAGGCCGGATGGCCACAAGTGAGAGCTCCCTAGCTCTTGGACCGACCACGGTCTGTCTGGCGTATCAAGCACCGAATCCACGTCCCACCCACGCCAGAGCTTCCCTGAGCCCAAAAGTGCTATATGTCAATGCCCCTTCTTACTGGAACGTGGACATCGGTTGGAAGGCAGGAGGTTCATGTCAACAGGTTTCAAGTGCAACGATGTGGATTCACAATATACATAAATACATGTATACATACACATATATATATATGTATATATATATATATACATATATACATATATATATACACACATATACATATACATATACATATATATATATATGTATATGCATTCCCGTGACCATCAAACCCAACAATAGCTGTTCCCGGTCAACCGCTCCAGCTCTCAGTCCCCAGCAGCAATGCGCCAAGTACGTCTCTGTGGTGCGGGGCAAAGGCGAAGGCTGGCACCAGCATCGCCCATTCGCAAAGAAGTCCTCAGAACTGTCAAGCTTTCCGTTTGCCACTATTGAAACAAACGCATTTCTGTGTGAGCTGTGCTTGCAAAGAATCTGCACAAGATCCACTCTGCTAAAAGGAAAAATGGAAAAGATCTGGTTGGCTCCCCCGCGGCCCCATGAATTGTACGTGCCATGGTTTCCTCCATTTTTGGGATCAGGGCCACTGCCAAATCTGCCAAGGTGCTGCAACTCTCCAGGTATTTCTGGGGAAAGCTTGAGATCGCCTGAGCAGGGGCTGGGCAGCATTCACTCTAAAACGGAGTGAGGTGAAATTGCATGCCCTGCATGAGTCTGCATGAGGATTGAATAAGCAAAAGTTGAAAATCTTGACAACAACAGCCAAGCATGGCGTTTACCAAAAAAATATGTGGGTAAGCCATCAGGGACACCAGACACCGCGGATCAAAGGTTGGGAACCCAAAAACCATTGCCGAGGCTCAATAAGCAATGGCATCATAGCCGAAAAATGAAGCCACACGGGCATCCTACGTGGCAAACCACTGCTGAACTGATTCAATTTGACCACACAAGAGCTGAATCGAGAACCATCAGAATGATATTATTACTGCCCCCGCGGTGCAGGTTGTGCAAATCACATGGCAGCACATTCGCCACAAAGATGCAGTTTTGCGCAGGCCATCCGCTCCTTTGTCACACATACAGGCCGCCTTTGTAATAAAATTATGTCGCATTCCAATCAGTAGAACAGAAATGCGATGACCACTCCAGCATATAGCCGATGCGTATCAAGATTTATCAATGGTCACTGGGAGTTATAGATTTCCTATGTCCATCAACAATCAACAACAATCAGCAATAATCAGCTAGTTGTTGGCTCAGCTGGTGACTCCTGACCCAATTGGCAGGCCTCTGTTGCTAGATCCGGCAGAGAACAGCGCCACTTCTGCACCAAAGCCAGTGGCAACGTCAAGGCCTGCAAGGAATAGCAGTCCCATCGGTTGCGAGTACCTCATTGCGCTGTCTGGAAGTATAAAAAATCTATGTACATTCCGCACTTTTTATGGCAGCCTTAGAAAACACCTGTCCAGCCATGGATCGAGAAAGAGTCTTTTGAGCATCTGGAGCATCTGGAGTTCCGTTTCCCCCCAGTAATCTCCATTGGCAACAGAGATGTACCGCAAGGGTATAATCTAGCTACAAAGTGTCGCTATCTTCAGTAACACACTTGCTGGGGAATCTCCCAAACCCCCAGCCCCACAGACCGCGCACCCATTGGACCTGCGCGTAGTACATCCGGTCCCTCTTCAGGTGTCCATAGACCGTCAGTCTGACGCTTCCATCCCTGGTGGAGACGAAGTGTAGAAACTCCAAACGCAACCAGTGCTGTCCCATCTGATCAACCTGCAAGACAGGATCCCCAGATTCAAACACTGCTATGCTAAGCCCAAATCAACAAACCACTGCTTGGTTCAATGGTGGGGAGTACCATCTTTTATAGCACTTTAGTAAATTTCGGGGTAATCCTGTCGCTGCCTTTCCGCGAATTCCATGGCCACATCAATTTGAGGCAACCACAAATGACAGAAGACTCTGGAAATAAAACACAAACCCAAAATTATTCGTGGTTGAGGTTTAACAATGTGACAATGTGTTAACCCCAACAATTATTCATGAGGTTAAATTCATGTTCGCAAGATCTCTACATAAATTTCTCATCGAGATAGGTGGCCACCTGAAGGAAGGCGCTGGCACCATGAACGTGTGCCACCATGTCCTCTCCAAGGGCCAATGTCTGCACATGGTCATCACCTTACAGAAAAACTGCTTGAAAATCGAAGGGAGAAGATGTGGGAAACCATGGCTTTTGGTGGGTAAATTTGGATTTCACCAGTCAAATTTTGGATGTGCACAACAGTAATGCGAAATTGAAACCATAAATATGGGGATATAATGATACCAGTAGTACCCGCACTAGGCGGGGCGGAAGTTGCCTTAGGGATATATACGACCTTTCTCATCTATAGAACTTGCATGCGCCGTGCGCCAGCCAAGCCCGTGCGTGCGTGCATTCTGCGAAAGTGGCGTCCTGTTTCACATGTCACGTTTGAAGCTCCACTTCGCACTTCACACTTCTCGCTGCACTCTTCACACTCCACACTACACACTTCACACTCCACACTTCACACTTCACACTGCACTCTTCCCACTCCACACTTCACACTTCACACTTCACACTCCACATTTCACACTTCATACTCCACACTTCACAGTCCACACTTCACGCTTCAAGAACACGACCAAGAACAGTTGTTGTTGTGTCCAAGAACATGACCCGCGCGCGACCCCGGTGCAATGTCAACTGTCAAGCAAACACTTTCCTCACACTTCACATTGCATTCTTCACACTTCACACTCCACACTTCACACTTGCACTTCATTTCAACTCGTCTCATCTGAGCTCTTCTCATCTCATTTCATGTCTTCCCATATGCCAGCTAAGTTCTTCTTGGCTATTTACATGTCATCTGAGCACAGCTCAAACTTTCTCATCCCACAGAAGCTAGTCTCAATTCATCTCGGCTCTTCTACACATCTTGCACAGAGTACTCTCCAGTGGTACTTGAAGAAACACCTTTCACCCAATCTGACCTCTTCGTAACTCATCTCAAGCCTTCTGTATGCCAAAGGCCTATACCATCATGCCAAGCGTTCATGCATTGCATCAAATCTTAACCGCAAGTGAAAACATGATGTAGCTGTTACCTGTCAAATCTTGATCCGGAAACACTTGTTGACGCAGCCATTACAATGCGATCTGCAGAGACCGAGTTGCAAAACACAATAGGACTACGCGCAACGGCGTCGGAAATTGCAGCTCCAAAACCGGATCTCGACGCCAAACCGAAAAAAAGACGATTTTGAAGCACGTCTTACAAAGATTTTTAAAAGGAAAACTACTAGCGCCAAAATGGAGAAAATCTACTGACAAATCACTGTCGCAGTCTTCATGCAGCCACTCCAATACGATTTACAAGATCCAGCTGAAAAAAAAAAGTATGACGCATGCAGGCGCAGTGCCAAGCAACCTTGATGCAGCCATTATAATGCGATCTGCAGAGACTGAGTTGCAAAACACAATAGAAATACGCGCAACGGCGTCGGAAATTGCAGCCCCAAAACCGGATCTCAACGCCAAACCGAAAAAAAAAACGATTTTGAAGCACGTCTTACAAAGATTTTTAAAAGGAAAATTACTAACGCCAAAATTGAGAAAATCTGCTGACAAATCACTGTCCCAGCCTTGATGCAGCCACTCCAACAGGATTTACGATGTCCAGCTGCAAAAGAGAGTAGTACTATGCATGCAGCCGTGGTGCCAAGCAACCTTGACACACCCATTACAATGCGATCTGCAGAGACCGAGCTGCAAAACACAATAGGACTACGCGCAACGGCGTCGGAAATTGCAGCTCCAAAACCGGATCTCGACGCCAAACCGAAAAAAAGACGATTTTAAAGCACGTTTTACAAAGATTTTTAAAGGAAAACTACTAGCGCCAAAATGGAGACGCAGCCTTCATGCAGCCATTACAATCCGTTTTGCACAATCACGTGGCTAACCCGCATCTCTCTACGCACATGGCAACACCAGATGACAACAATCATGCAGCCATTCCACTGCAATCTGCAACCACAGATTCAAAAAACACATGGAACTACACACACAGGAACAACCACTCGCAACACAGAGGAGGAACACATTCGCGACAGAAACGACCGCAGCCGCACCCGCCGCACACACGAGGTACCTTTCATCGCCGCCTGCAGCCACTTTACACAAAAAAATAAACGGTTTCGTGCTCCGGCTTCCTCCCCAACACAAACCCCGTGCAACATCCATACAGCCATTACAATGCGTTTTGCAGCATCACGTGGCTAACCCGCATCTCTCTACGCACATGGCAACACCAAATAACAAAATCATGCAGCCATTCCACTCCGATCTGCAACCACAGATTCAAAAAACACATGGAACTACACACACAGGAACAACCACTCGCAACACGGAGGAGGAACACATTCGCGACAGAAACGACCGCAGCCGCACCCGCCGCACACACGAGGTACCTTTCATCGCCACCTGCAGCCACTTTACACAAAAAAATAAACGGTTTTGTGCTCCGGCTTCCTCCCCAACACAAACCCCGTGCAACATCCATACAGCCATTACAATGCTTTTTGCAGCATCACGTGGCGAACCCGCATCTCTCTACGCACATGGCAACACCAAATAACTACAACCATGCAACCATTCCACTCCGATCTGCAACCACAGATTCAAAAAAACGCATGGAACTACACACACAGGAACAACCACTTGTTGCAGAATCGCGACAGAAACGACCGCAGCCGCACCCGCCGCACACACGAGGTACCTTTCATCGCCGCCTGCAACCACTTTACACGGAAAAATACAAGGTTTCGTGCTCTGGCTTCCTCCCCAACACAAAGCCCATGCAGCATTCATGCAGCCATTACAATACGTTTCGCAGCATTCCATTCCTTCCTCACCACTTCCCTTCGTCACCACTTCCCATCGTCACCACTTCCCTTCATCAACACTTCCCTTCGCCACCACTGCCCTTCATCACCACTTCCCTTCGTCACCGCTTCCCATCGTCGCCACTTCCCATGGTCGCCACTTCCCTTCATCACCACTTCCCTTCGTCACGACTTCCCTTCGTCACCACTTCCCTTTGTCACCACTTCCCATCGTCGCCACTTTCCTTCATCACCACTTCCCTTCATCACCACTGCCCTTGGTCACCACTTCCCTTCGTCACCACTTCCCTCGTCACCACTTCCCTTCGTCACCACTTCCCTTCATCACCGCTTCCCTTCGTCACCACTTCCCATCGTCGCCACTTGCCTTCATCACCACTTCCCTTCATCACCACTGCCCTTGGTCACCACTTCCCTTCGTCACCACTTCCCTCGTCACCACTTCCCTTGGTCACCACTGCCCTTCGTCACCACTTCCCGTCGTCACCACTTCCCATCGTCACCACTTCCCTTCGTCACCACCCTGTGTCATGGCTTCTTATTCTCACCACTTCCCTTCATCACCACTTCCCTTCGTCACCACTGCCCTTCGTCACCACTTCCCTTCGTCACCACTTCCCTTTGTCACCACTTCCCTTCCTCACCGCTTCCCTTCGTCACCACCCTGTGTCATGGCTTCTTATTCTTTTGTTAAGTATTGTTATGTCATGTACCACCCTTCATCAATGTCAGTCTCACAATTCATTGCTTCCCAACTTCCTTTGATAATCGGCTTTCAATGGATTGATGTAAAGGAAAGGTTGAGGGGAATCAATGTGGGGTTTGCCCCCACATATATATAATCAAATAATATCAAATAGAGGGTTGTCCTGTAAATTCTCCCTTGAACTACTTCTGCGAGTCTTCTGGTGGCCCAAGAGTTGTCAATTTCTGCTCTTCCATTTAGGTGGCTACTCACTTTTGCAAGCCAATAAAAGTCAATGAAAATCCATGCGCCAACTCAAAGTGAGACAATGAGAGAAGTGGACTTAGCGTGACGTTGCAAGTGACTTTCAGACAAAAAGATCAAGAAAGATCAATTCAATTTGAGGGTTCAAAATGTTCTGAAGGAAGCTGGCGAGTCACAAAGGGTATGGGTCAGGCCTCAATCCACAGGAAGAAAAAGCAGGAAAGCTCCGTTTGGAGGCTCGCATACTGAATTTCCTGGCATTCTGCCTGCAACCAACTTCCATGAAACACAATGCATGGTAAGGCTTTCTTTATCTTCAACTGTTTTCTTGTCATGTTATATTCATCTACAGAATCTGTAACCCGAGGTCAGCTGCGGTTTCAGTCAAGCGACGACGTTCAGAAACGGACGCAAGGAAGGATGGCCTGACTGGCCATGGAGGTGTGCTTTTGGAGCTTTGTTGGCGGGTTATATCATTTGGTTATTGAAAATTGACAAAATAGATTGCCTATGGGCCTATGATTGCGTTCATGTTTTGGCGGAGAGAATTTCAAGGTGATTTGATCCGCACGCGTGTCTCTCAAGCGCCGTCGTTGGCAAGCAGTCTGCCTCAGCTCTGCAGGTATTGATCTGGGGATGTTCCTAGAAGACGGGATTCCCTTGCATATTTGCACTCATTGTGGAAATGAGCAAATTACAACACGCCGCCATTCACATTGAATGACTTTGTAGGCTCGTGATCCTTACATCACAATGACAACCCCGCCAGACCGAGCAAGCTACAACCAAACGAAGCAGCGGTCTTGCTTGCAGGGCAGTTTCTGGGTCTTCCCAGAGTGATTGGAAGTCCTTAGCTGAGGCTCAACGTCAGTAGGTATGCGAAAAAACTGGGTACAAAAAAAAAGGAACGGCTGGGTGCCTAAATACTGAAGTCGCTCATATCTGTGGGTATCTGAAAACTCTGACCCATCCCCCTTCTCACTCTGAAAGGATTGTCCAGCAAAGTGGCAGACATCAGAAAGTTGGCAGCCACCACCTGGGGAATAGACAACATGTTGGGATGAAGGACCAAAAAAACGTAAACATTTTTTGGGGTGTTTGGGATTTGTCCCAGCCTTGCAATCAGGCGCTGCAAGTAGATCTTTCAGGATCTCCTTCCCAAAAAACAACAGATGGATTGCTTGGTGTCTACTGCAGAATTCTGCGTCTGATTGATCACCACTTCAGGCCAGGAGAAGGGCCGGTTGCCAGGGTCAACTAGTCTGAATGGATTGGGATGACTTTATGGACTTCCCCCACATCTGCGACTCTGCGACTGACTGCGCCAATCGCATTCATTTTGTACTTTTAACCAAAAAATGATGGGAACCCTGCCCCGAGTTCATTCCATCATACTCAGTATGGATGCACCAACGGACCAACCAAATGGGTTTCCTCCATCTTCACTGCCGTCCCCTCCACTGGCTGTGCTGTCAGCGCCCCCAGAAGCACCAAGAGAGACTCGAGCAATGGCTGGCTCCAGTTGGAGTCCAGCCACTGTTTCCACCTCAGCGGCAACGTGGCTATGGGGAACTGCTGGATTGGCGGAAGGGAAAATTGACAGGAAACCATGGCTTTTCCCATGCAAAAAAAGAGTTCCTGTAAAGTTCTCTTCAACCAATGTGATGTAACCAATCATTTACTCGAAAATGGCTACTACGGATTAGTGCCTAGGTACCCCGCCGCTCACATGAAAATAAGTGGTGGGTATGTATTTTTATAGCCCTGTTCAAATAGGCTTTGACCCATGCCCATCTTTGAGCCTGTTTACAAATCTTGTTCCACCCAACTCCTGTCCGCCATTGGGTACCCCGAAAACGGGATGGTGTCTGATGATTTTCTAAGCACGTAAGTGACCAAATGTGAACAACATGTCTTGAGTGGATGACCTTCATACAGTACAGGTCGAAATCTTGATGCATCGTTCCAACAGCAAACCAATCGAGTTCTGGTTGAGCTCAAAACTACAGTCCTTGAACATCCTTTGTAACGAGCAGATATGGATGATATGGAGATGAAAGAAGAAACTGATGTCCAGGCGTCGGCAGCATCAGGCGAAGCGAGAGGAGGAGATCATCCAAGGAGGGCCTGTTGCTTTCAGGTAAAACTGGCAGGAGACCCTGATGTTTACCTCAACATATGGGAGGATGTCCAGTGAGTTGTCCCAATTCTTGGAATGAATGCTTAAACAAATTGCCGAATGTATGGCTTGGGAAGTGGAAGTTAACTTGCGCCGAACAAAGAAGATCACTTGATCCGACCAAGTGAGGCTTTTAGCTAATCATCCACTACCTCTAGGGACTCTAGGGTTTGACCTGGGGACTTGGGGACATTGGGACAGGGGACCTGGGGAAGGTCAGGGGGACCTCTGCCTCTGTCTATAAAATCACAACCTGTAGGGTTTGCCTTGTTAGGGTTTGCCTTGGGAACATGGGGACAGGGGGACCTGGGGGTCAGCATCTTCTTAAGGATGCCACATGCAAGTAAGGTTGCCACATGCTAGCTGCTTTTAAATTGCTAGCCAAAAAAACAACGAACGCAGGCACAAGCGATCTTGTTTCGCAGGCATAAGCGAGGAGCCTGCCGCTTCGGGGTTGAAACTGTAATCTAAAGGTCAATGTCTACCTGTGGGGACTGAAGGGCCCTCTGAAGTCATGACCCAGATTTGATGTCTGCTGAACTTTGATAAGCGGCGACAAAGGATTGATGGTTACAAGTTCCAAAGTGCTTTTAGAACAGCCTCTGAGGTAATGAACGTACAGAGGCATTTTAAATATGTCTCATGTCCTATCTGTTCAGGATTTGTTTCATTCCATTGCACCTTGCACCTTCCCTCTTTGATGCCGCTGAAATCCAACACAAAATTCAAAAAAATGGTTTGGGACAATGACTTTCCATGATTTTCCTATTTCAAACCACCATCGTTTTTCCTTCCCCATCCGCACTGGCCCCACCTCTCCTGCGGCCTGGATAGAGCCTCCCGGGCAAGCTGCCTTGGTCTTACATGATGTCAAAGAGATGGTCTGGATTCGGACTGAACATTTCACCAACAATGATGGAACAACTGGAAATGTTGACGATTAACCTGATTAAACCAAGAATAGTCCTTGGATATTAGATCATCTTACCTCATAGAATCTCCAGAAATCAATGGCATTTCAGGATCTACATTATTGGAAGTACCTACCCCATATGTATATATATATATATGTATACATGTGTGTATGGCCTATGTAAGGACTATGTTGTGTAAGGGAATATCCCCACAAGATAAGGCATCATATGGTACAGTACCTCCGTTCTAGGGTCCTGAAATTCCCGTGGAAAAAATGAGGCAAAGATCTCCATCCTGGTCACCTCTGTCAGACATGTGGCATGATCTCTCCCAGAAGAACGGCAGCGAAGCAGGATGCACTGCGGCAGGGGGACCCTTCCTGCAAAGCCTGCACCCAGGGGGTCCATCATCCTGAGTCGTTTAGGGATGAATTGCCCACCGCTTTGATGCCAAAAAATCTGCGAGAATCCAGGTAACACAATTTGATAATGAATTGATAATGGATCCCAGTGACAGATCCTCCGCACCTCTTGCAAAGCCTGCCAATAGCTATTAAAGCCATCCGAGAGCGTCATTGTCTCATGCAGGGGCCCTGGCTTCGCGCCAGTTCCAACAACATCCCAAAGCATTGTGACTGCATCGTCAATTAAAGGAACAAAAACAATTCCAACCTGGATTGCTCTGGTCTTTCTTCTCTTGTTCCCAAAAAAAATGTTGACATCACGTTCGATCAGCATTTAGGATCAAAAACGTTGAACGCCTTCGATATCACACACACACCTTGCAGAAGACAAATCTCTACAAGTTGAGCTGCACAAACAGATCGACTGTCCACCAATTGCCTTCTGCTCTCCAGTTGGGAAACTTCCAGGAAATCCTGGCAGGGCAGGCCAAATGCGCTTTCGGATCTTTCCAACCCCCATATGCCAAAACATGATCCTTCGTCTTGGAATGTCTATACGTATGCACATGCATGCATGCATCTACCTATCTATATACCTATCTACCTATCTACCTATCTACCCATCTATCCATCTACCCATCTACCCATCTACCCCACCTATCCACCTATCTACCTATCTACCTATCTACCTATCTACCTATCTACCTATCTACCTATCTACCTATCTACCTATCTACCTACCTACCTACCTACCTATCTACCTATCTACCTATCTACCTATCTACCTATCTACCTATCTACCTATCTATATCTACCCATCTATCCATCTACCCATCTATCTACCCCACCTATCTACCTATCTACCTATCTACCTATCTACCTATCTACCTATCTACCCATATCCATCTACCCATCTATCTACCCATATCCACCTATCCTATCTACCTATCTACCTATCTACCCATCTACCCATCTACCCCACCTACCCATCTACCTATCCACCTACCTATCTACCCATCTATCCCTATCCATCTACCCATCTACCCATCTACCCCACCTATCCACCTATCCACCTATCTACCTATCTACCTATCTACCTATCTACCTATCTACCTATCTACCTATCTACCTATCTACCTATCTACCCATCTATCCATCTACCCATCTACCCATCTACCCCACCTATCCACCTATCTACCTATCTACCTATCTACCTATCTACCTATCTACCCATCTATCCATCTATCCATCTACCCATCTACCCCACCTATCCACCTATCTACCTATCTACCTATCTACCTATCTACCTATCTACCTATCTACCCATCTATCCATCTACCCATCTACCCATCTACCCCACCTATCCACCTATCTACCTATCTACCTATCTACCTATCTACCCATCTATCCATCTACCCATCTACCCATCTACCCCACCTATCCACCTATCTACCTATCTACCTATCTACCTATCTACCTATCTACCCATCTATCCATCTACCCATCTACCCATCTACCCCACCTATCCACCTATCTACCTATCTACCTATCTACCTATCTACCTATCTACCCATCTATCCATCTACCCATCTACCCATCTACCCCACCTATCCACCTATCTACCTATCTACCTATCTACCTATCTACCTATCTACCCATCTATCCATCTACCCATCTACCCATCTACCCCACCTATCCACCTATCTACCTATCTACCTATCTACCTATCTACCTATCTACCCATCTATCCATCTACCCATCTACCCATCTACCCCACCTATCCACCTATCTACCTATCTACCTATCTACCCATCTATCCATCTACCCATCTACCCATCTACCCCACCTATCCACCTATCTACCTATCTACCCATCTATCCATCTACCCATCTACCCATCTAATCCACCTATCCACCTATCTACCTATCTACCTGTCTACCTATCTACCTATCTACCCATCTATCCATCTATCCATCTACCCATCTACCCATCTACCCATCTACCCATCTACCCCACCTATCCACCTATCTACCTATCTACCTATCTACCTATCTACCTATCTACCCATCTATCCATCTATCCATCTACCCATCTACCCATCCTCCCCATCTCCCCACCTATCCACCTATCTCCCTTCTACCTATCTACTATCTCCCATCATACCTGTCCCATCCGAATCCATCCCATCAATTCCTCCATCCATATCCATACTACCCATCTACCCCATCTACCCAAACCTATCACTACTATCTACCTATCTAACATCTTCTACCCATCTAATCCTCTAATATCCATCTACCCATCTACCCATCTACCCATGTCATAGCCCCCCCGACTATCCACCTATCCACCATCTATATCTACTAATCTCCTATTCTACCCAATCTATCCACTATCCATCTCCCTCTTAACCCATCTACCCTTACCCCACCCTATCCACCTATTCTAACCTTCTACTATCTACGGGGACTATCTACCCATCATCCTCTTATCCATCTACCCTACCCATCTACCCCAACCGCTATCCACCTATCCACCCTATCCACCTATCTACCTATCTACCTATCTACCTATCTACCTATCTACCCATCTATCCATCTACCCATCTACCCATCTACCCCACCTATCCACCTATCTACCTATCTACCTATCTACCTATCTACCTATCTACCCATCTATCCATCTACCCATCTACCCATCTACCCCACCTATCCACCTATCTACCTATCTACCTATCTACCTATCTACCTATCTACCCATCTATCCATCTACCCATCTACCCATCTACCCCACCTATCCACCTATCTACCTATCTACCTATCTACCTATCTACCTATCTACCCATCTATCCATCTACCCATCTACCCATCTACCCCACCTATCCACCTATCTACCTATCTACCTATCTACCCATCTATCCATCTACCCATCTACCCATCTACCCCACCTATCCACCTATCTACCTATCTACCCATCTATCCATCTACCCATCTACCCATCTAATCCACCTATCCACCTATCTACCTATCTACCTGTCTACCTATCTACCTATCTACCCATCTATCCATCTATCCATCTACCCATCTACCCATCTACCCATCTACCCATCTACCCCACCTATCCACCTATCTACCTATCTACCTATCTACCTATCTACCTATCTAC